TTTTGGCCGCCTGAGTGGAACAATCTGGTTCCTTTTTGTTGAGTTTTTGTTGTCTCATGCATCGCGTACAAAGCCTCTGGGGTAACCATTGCGGGAAAACAATTCAAACAGATAAGTGAGCTCGTTTCGGTAGGTTTCTTCGTCATAACGGTGTGTCTTCGATCGGTGTGGCAGACTTTTGACGGCACTCCTTTTGTGAGAGATGGGGCTGTTGCTCTCATAGTTAAGAATATCTTCCGCATACGTGTCTTTGCGTTAAACGGACGTTTGTATTGTTCCGTCAGCATTTCGCCGCACAAGAACATCCAGAAATTGAAGTTTGTTGTTAACCTCCTTCTCCAGCCTGAATTGAATGCCCGAAATGGTTGAGTTGATGGTCTTGTGAAGCGCCTCAAGAAGGTCCTTTATTGTTATAATTCAAAGGCAAATATTACCTCTACAGACAGTCCTGCCGTATATGCTGTACAAAACTAGTAGGTGATAGGTTGACAAAGTTGGCAGATGGACGGGCATGCGTCCATATCCGCGAGGGCCGGTGCTCGAAGTGTGATCTATAGTGAGTTCACGTGTGAGTCAGCCTTAGGAAGATGATTGGCGAGACTGGATTGGGGTCGGCAGACACTTATGTATACGTGCTAACAGTAGCGAGAGATTGAGCGTTGCGCGCGGAGTTGAATCACTACACATCCACTACCTTAACCTGGGACTCTCTCTCTGAGGATGTGTTTCAATGAGAATCCGAAACGCCAGGCCAATAAACTTCCAACCCCAGTGATGACACCTTTTTCTTCAAAAGTACAGGTGTGTCTGAGTTATCATCACCAGATGCGACGATGGTCTCGTCTCCCGCGTTCATTCGAGCATATCGTTTAAGCAAGCGTTGTAAACCTTGGCAGACCTGTGGCCTGGTAATTCCCCCCCCCCTCCCCGGTAGGAGTGTCCCACAAAGAACCTCCATTGTTTAGAAGCATTAGCTGGGGCGCATGTGTGCTGTTGTCAGGCCTAAGGTTGACATTCGGATGGTCGACAATCACACGGTGAAGGCCACCTGCAGCTACCCTAGCGAACGATCTGTGACGTGTCGTGAGGCCCGCTCTTTAAGGATCTAGCTGATCACGCCCTCGGTTTTGGGAGTTTCCGACTGGCTGGGCTGTTCAGAAGAAGAAGACGCGATCACTGGAACGAGAATTTTATTTTCCTGATGTTTCGGATTCTGTCGAGAATCCTTAATCATAGGTACTGGTAGGGTAGCCTGAGCCACGCGCACATAGGTGTGAAACATGCAAAAAGTGCACGGTATTTACAGTTTGTGGCGGTTATTCGCGTGCGTACTATAATTATCCGCTCCTGTAGCCACCGCTTGGGGTCTTAATTTCTGCGGTGATGGCTTTACTCTTCGCGTTCGACTTATTAATTGCCGCGATTTCCTTGTCCGTGTAGGATGCGGGCTTGATAATAGCGCGACAGTTATGCTCACTGTCGTCAGAGTTGTTGCTGGGCCCGACCCTTCCCACGTGACTGATTATTTACCTCAGGCAATGTCTCACTACGCAGTATGGGAAAGCCAGATTTTTGCGCTTATTGATGGACTGGGGGCCTGAAAACCATGACTCGAGCAGCTCGCGGCTCACGC